GGCCTATGTGCTCAGCCAGGCACACTTGTCTGTAGTGTAACAGTGCCAAACCACCTCTACTGCAGTCCTCAAAGGGCAGAGTGGTCACCCAGTGAAGCCAAGGCTTCTCTAAACAGACCAGAGGCCAGTGGGAGAATATGTGCAGAGTGTCTCTCACACAGTTGCCCAGAATATGCTGGACACTCATCTGGAGACTGTTACATGGATGAGGAACTGGCTGGATAGTCACCATGGAGGAGTTCTAGACAAGAGCTGAATATCCAGGTGCAAACCTGCAACTTGTCCTTCCAGGGTCCTTCCTGGAACCAGTACTGTTTAGTATCTTCACAGACAATGGGATTGAGCACACCCTCAGCAAATGTGCAGCTGACACCAGTCTGAGTTGATTCATGAGAGGGAAGAGGGACCTGGATAGGCTGGAGAAGTGGGCCCATGAAAACATCATGAAGTTCAACAAGGCCAAGGGAAAGGTTCTGCACCTGGGTCAGGGCAATCTGCAGTTCCAGTAGGGAGTAGGGAATAGGGAAGAGCTTTGCAGAGAAGTACATGGGGTTACTGGTGGGTGGTAAAATGGGACATGATTTGGCAAAATGCACTTGCTGCTTAGAAAGAAAGTTGTATCCTACACAGTATAAGAGGTAATAAGGCAAACAGTGTGATGGGCTGGTTCATGCCCTCTAAGCTCTTTTTGTGAGACACCAGCTAGAGCAATGCATGCTTTCAATGACCTTGAAAGAGCCCTTCCAACCAAAACCATTGTTTGAATCTATGAAGGACTTGGTGTGGCTTTGCAGTTTCCTATTGTCAGCCCCTCAAGTATGGAGAGGAAAAGAAGGATGTTTCAAGAATCACAAATAAAAGAGTAACTTTTAAATCTGCTCCCTTAGCATAGAGATTTTTTCCATTGCTTTAGGCTGATCCATTTCTTGGGTTAATTCATCCCAGGTAATGAATTCAGCAGAATCCAAGATATCACATACAGTGCAAAAAGGCTCTTGAAGTCTTCCTATATTATTGTTTATTGTTCCTACAGTTGGGCCTGGTTTTATTAAGAACAGCTAAGTTCCTTTATCACTCTGCTATGAATATTTATGAATATTTGCTTCTGACTATTCATTGTGATAACGATGTAAAAGCACCCGACAGCGCATCTCAGTTCCAAAGGCCTTAGGAAGCACATTAAGCAGGTCCTGCTTTGATTGCTGATTGGAATCGAGGGCAGACCCCAGCGCCGTTGCAGCCCCAGCCCGGCCCCAAGTTGGTCCCCGCCGAGCGCGGCCGTGAGGCGGCTGCAGTGTCGTGTCGGCGCCTCCGGGTGCCGCTGTTGGGCCGCCGCCGAGCGTTGCTGGAGCCGCCGCCGCCGCCGCCTGTGCGTGCTGTCCCCGCAGGCTGCTCGCTCGGCCGGGCAGTGCGGGCCAGAGCGGCANAAGCTGCGGGTGGCGTCTGCCGGCAAAAAGCAGCTGAAATACTTCACGGTGAGCGAGACAAACGGGAACCTGTACGTGAGCGAGAGGCTGGACCGGGAGGAGCTGTGCGGCGAGTCGGCGTCCTGCTCGGTCAGCTTCGAGGCGCTGGTGCACAACCCACTAAATGTTTTCCGTGTTGAAGTGGCCATTGAAGACGTGAATGACAACTCCCCGGTCTTCAGCAAGGCTGTTTTGGACCTCGAGATCGGTGAATGGACTCAGCCAGGTGCCCGTTTTCCTCTGGAGGCGGCTCAAGACGCAGACGCCGGAAAGAACTCGCTGCTGAGTTACGATCTCACCAGTAACCCGTCCTTCTCTCTAGCCCTGAAGGAGAGGCCAGGTGGAAAAAAGCAACCGGAATTAGTGCTGGAGAGAGCATTGGACCGGGAGAAGCAGAGTTCCTTTGAGCTAGTGCTGACGGCAGTGGATGGTGGGGATCCCTCGAGGTCCGGGACTGTTCAGGTTCGTGTCAACGTGACAGACGCCAACGACAACCCGCCCGTGTTCAGCAAAAGTGTCTACGATGCGCGAGTGGCCGAGAATCTCCCGGCAGGTTCGCTGGTGCTGCAGGTGCGGGCCACGGATGCGGACGCGGGGTCCAATGGGCGGGTCTCCTACTCCTTCGGCAACGCCCCGGCCGGGATCCGCGAGTTGTTCTCTGTCGACAGCGAGAGCGGCGAGATCACGACCGCGGGACCCCTCGATTTCGAGGAGAAGAGTAAATACAGCTTCGAACTGGAGGCGAAGGACGGGGGCGGGCTTACCGATCACTGCGAACTGCGGATAGACATCACGGACGAGAACGACAACGCGCCTGAGATCACGATTTTGTCGCTGTCAAGCCCCGTGTCCGAGGACGCGCCGACCGGCACGGTCGTTGCTCTCCTCAACGTCCATGATCCAGACTCCGGCGAGAACGGTGAGGTGTCGTGCGAGCTGTCGGGAGAGGCGCCGCTGTCGATCGTGGCGTCGTCGGGCGGCTCGTACAAAGTGGTGACGGCGAGCGCGCTGGACCGCGAGCAGGCGTCCGAGCACCGTGTGACGGTGGTGGCCCGGGACCGGGGCAGCCCGGCGCTGT